TGGGGAATCTGTCTCTAATCTCATCCAGGATTAAATTTTCCTTTGTCTTTCCTTTATCAGTGGGGTAATCACAATGCTGTCTGCTTTTATTCGGCAGTCCTTATCATAAGGCATATACTGTGAGCTAGAAACTATACCAGGGCCTGGGGTGATTTATAAACAAATAATCATAATGTAAGTATACAATAGAAAAACCAGCAAAGTGCTGTATAAGCTGCAAAGTCTACCTGACAATTTAGTCTTGGAAGAAAAGATTGTAATGAAAACCACAATGATATACAATACCATTCCCTCCCCCACAACCCCTTTCCAGATTAGAGATTTCTGGCACAATAATGAGAGGAATAAATTAAAAACAATTATAGTACCTGTAGGCTACCCAGGTAGAAGTTCAATAGAAAACTGACAACACAAGACTAGAACTCAGGGGAGAGGCTTGGTATATAAATTTGAAAGTAGTCATATACGTCAGTGATTTTCAGTGTGTGTAGGCAGGAACGACCAAGAGGCAGATCAGAACCTCTTGAGGACATGGTATCTTTTCTAAACTATCCATCCTCTTCATTGCCCAAGATTCCACTCTTGCTTCTCCCTCAACTGTGGTGACATCCTTCCTGGCTTAGGATCATTGTGTGAAATGAGAGACAGCATTGACTGGGGGGGGGAGGTGTGCGCATGCAAGCCAACGGGAGGCAGAAACTAAGTTGAGAACCACTGTGGTTCGGCAGTTAAATGCCCCAGTGTGGATAAAACCACCCAGGAGAGTAAGATAAGGAAGAGGATGAGGATGAAACCTCAAAGAGACCAAGTTTTAAAGCAGGAGTAAAGAAAGAGGAGCCAGTGAAAAAACAGTGGGTGAGGAAGATACAGAAAGGACCAGGACCCAGAAGGCAGGGGCACAGAGAGGTGTAAGAATGAATGGAATGGGCCACAGGTCATGTGCTGCAGAGATAGGCTAAGACCTGAAATTAGGTTCCAACTACAGGCATACCTCAGAGATATCCCGGGTTCTGTTCCAGACCACTGCAATAAAGCAAGTCATGTGAATTTTTTGGTGTCCCAGTGCATATAAAAATTATGTTCACACTGCACTGTAGTCTCAAGTATGCAATAACATTATGTCTAAAACAACAATGTATATACTTTAATTTAAAAATACATCATCGCTAAAAAATGCTAATGATCATCCGGGCCTTCAGTGAGTGTACTCTTTGCTGGCGGCAGCCTTGCCAAGATGTCGATGGCTGCAGACTATCAGGGTGGTGGTTGCTGAAGGTTGGGGTGGTGTGGCAATTCCTTAAAATAAGACAACTAAGTTTGCCACGTTGGTTGGCTCTTCCTTTCACAAAAGCTGTCTCTGTAGCGATGTTGTTTGATAGCATTTTACCCACAACAGAACTTCTTCCAAAATGGGAGTCCATCCTCTGAAATCCTGCTGCTGCTTTGTCAAGCTAAGTGTATGCAATATTCTAAATCTTCTAGTGTCATTTTAACAATGTTCACATCATCTTCACCAGGAGTAGATCCCATCTCAAGAAACCACTTTCTTTGCTCATCCAGAAGAAGCAACTCCTCATCCATTCAAGTTTTAAAATGAGATTACCGCAATTCAGTCACATCTTCAGACTCCACTTCTGATTCTAGTTCTCTTGCAGTTACCTTCTCCCCTGAAGTATTGAACTCCTCAAAGTCATCCATGAGGGTTGGAATCAACTTCTTCCAAACTCTGATTAATGTTGGTTGTTGGACCTCCTCCCATGAATCATAAAGTGTTCTTATTGACATCTAGAACGGTGAATCCTTTCCAGAAGGTTTCAGTTTACTTTGCCCAGATCCATCAGAGGAATCACTATCTATGGCAGCAAAAATATATATTACAGAATATATTTCTTACAAAATATATTTCTTAAATAATAAGACTTAAAAGTCATAAGCCTTGAACCATGGGCTGCAGAATTATTGTGTTAGCAGTTCTGAAAACAATATTAATCTTCTTGTACATCTCCATCAGAGCTCTTGGAAGACCTAGTGCATTGTCAGAGAGCACTAAGAGATCTTTTCTTCTGAGCAGTAGGTCTCAACAGTGGGCTTAAAACATTTACTAAACCATGCTGTAAACAGATGTACCATCATCCAGGCTTTGCTGTTCCCATTAATAGAGCACAGGCAGAGTAAGATTTAGCATAATTCTTAGGGGCCCTAGGATTTTTGGAATTGTATATGAGCATTGGCTTCAACTTAAAGCCACCAGCTACATTAGCCCCCTAGTAAGAGAGTCAGCCTGTCCTTTGAAGTTTTGAAGCCAGGCATTAACTTCTCCCCTAGCTGTGAAAGTCCTAGATGGCAGCTTCTTCCAAGAGAAGGCTGTTTCATCTACATTGAAAACCTGTTGTTTAGTGTAGTCACCTTCATCAGCGATTTTAGCTAGATCTTGTGGATAAACTTGCTGCACTTCTACATCAGCAGCACTTTGCTGCTTCACCTTGCACTTCTGTGTTACGGAGATGGCTCCTTTCCTTAAACCTCAAACCAACCTCTGCTAGCTTCAGACTTCTGCTGCAGCTTCCTCACCTCTCAGCCTTCATAGAATTGAAGAGAGTCAGGTCTTTGCTCTGGAGGCTTTGGCTTAAGGGAGGGTTGTGGTTGGATTGATCTTTTATCCAGACCTTTAAAACTTTCTCCATATCAACAACAAAGCTATATTGCTTTATTCGCACAAATTCATGTAAGAAGTGGAATAGCCCTTTTAATTCTCTTCAAGAACTTTTCCTTTGCACGCACAACTTGGCTAACTGGTGCAAAAAGCCTCACTTTTGGCCTGTCTTGGCTTTCAATATGCCTTCCTCACTAAACTTGATAATTGCTAGATTTCGATTTAAAGTGAGAGATGTGTGACTCTTCCCTAACACTCATAGGCCATTGTAGAATTATTAATTGGCCTTATTTCAATATTGTTGTGTCTCAGGGAATAGGAAGGTCTAAGGAGCGGGAGAGAGACAGGGAACGATTAGTTGGTGCAGCAGAGAGCACACACACATTTATCCATTCGCTGTCATATTGGCATAGTCTGTGGCGCCCCAAAACAATTACAGCAGTAACACCAAAGATCAGTAATCACAGATCTCCATAACAGATATGATAATAGTGAAAAAATTTGAAATATTGTAAGAATTAGCAGAATGTGACACAAAAATGACACCAGTGGACTTGCTTGGTGCAGGATTGCTACAAACCTTCCATTTGTAAAAAACACAGTTATCTATGAAGGGCAATAAAGTGCAAGAAAATAAAGTATGCATGTGTAAGGAAACCATCACTCTGCATTATGAGGGCAGCTATAGCCAGAAGGAGGTGGCCGAGGACTAACTACGCTGAATTCAGGAGTCGAGGAAGGGAGAGCAGCAAATACAGGTCACGACCTTTCCCAGGTAGTTGGTAGGAAAGGTGAAGGAGAAACAGAGAGGGGGCATAAGGGGAAGGTAGACTACAAAGGGTGGGGGCATAGCACACAATGGAACAGGGTCTTCTAGGAGAGTGGAGTGGTCAGCACTATTGAGGATAAATCTGTGCTTTGGTGGGAATTGCTTGTGGGTAGTAACCATGTCTATTCATCTAGTATCCCCCAAAACCAAGCAGTAGGCACTCAGCAAATGTTTATAAAGATAAGTAAAGATTTGACTTTTTAGAATTAGTCTCGATTGATATAGTTACAGAAAACACTGTTTTTATCCTGTAATTACCACTCTGGAATGTACTCTTGTGGGCTTGTGTTGTTTGAAATAAAAGGGAAAATCAGAGATTAGGTACTCTTGAGGTAGTCATAATCATGATCACATGATTCATTTTTCTGTGCTTGTTACATTTTTCTGTGGTTGTTAGGTATTTCTTAAATTCTGTGTTGGCAGCTTGAAGTGTATTATGTCCGAGGTGCTCGGCTTGGTGGGTGTGAAGCCCAGCTCATTAGAGGAGCTGCACATGCACATAAACAGTCCATATGACACTTTTAGCTCCAGGAGTTTGGCTTCAAATTAGTGATTTTTAAAAGTTCAGAAAAACAGCTGGGCACGCGATGGCTCTTGCCTGTAATCCTACCACTTTGGGAGGCCGGAGTAGGGGGCAGGGGGGATTGCTTGAGGCCAGGAGTTCGAGACCAGCCAGAGTGATAGCAAGACCCTGTCTCTACAAAAAATAGAAAAATTAGCCAGATGTGGTGGCACGTACCTGTAGTTCTAGCTACTTGGGAGGCTGGGGCAGAAGGATCACTTGAACGCAGGAGTTTGAGGTTGCAGTGAGCTAAGATGACGCCACGGCACTCTACCCAGGGCAATGGGTGGGTGAAACTGTCTCAAAAAATAAATAAATGAAAGTTCAGAAAAATAACCTTTTTAATTATATTCTATGTTAAATTTTACACACTGTAAATGTTTCTAATATTAACAAAGGCCAATTTTATAGACAACTTTTCATTCTGTGCAACTTAATTCTTTGAGAATATATTCCAAAAGAACAAATTGGTTAAGGAAGGTAAAATCAGCTCATCACAGACCATATTTCAGGGTGCAGATGGTGAATGAATCAGTGTGGGTTTTACTCTGCTGTGCCAGTTTCAGTGTTGTAGACCCAAAACCGAAAACAAATATGTGAAGGCCATTCTGGTTCACATTTTTCTTCCTAGTGCTTATAAACTAGGGTATATATTGATACTATCTCATTTTATATTATCCTTTTTTTTTTCCAGTTTCACCAGAAAACGTACTGCCTTTTTTTCTCAATATATCATTGCCAGTGAAATATATTATGTAAAATATGCTAAGCAAATCAAATTAGTGTATATAGAATTCATTTATGAAGACTGTTATGAGTTGATTTAAATGCTGATTTATCTTTCCTGAATAAAATTGCTCACGTGATGAGTTGCTATCTTGAGATATTGATTGATTGGAACATTATTGGCCTTTAAAATTTTATCTATAACTGTGGTGTTTTTTTCTTTTTTACAGTAAGTGCCTGATAGACATCCTAGTACTTTACAAACGGAAAAAAAACAGCTTTTAGGAGATAATGTTAAGGGACACTATGAAATCTTGGAATGACAGCCAGTCAGATCTCTGTAGCAGTGACCAAGAAGAGGAAGAAGAAATGATTTTTGGTGAAAATGAAGATGATTTGGAAGAGATGATGGATTTAAGTGATCTGCCTACCTCACTTTTTGCCTGCAGTGTCCATGAAGCAGTGTTTGAGGTGCAAGAGCAGAAGGTAGGCATACATCCGCCCTTGTGTTGAATATATATATGTGCATTTGGGAAAACAGAGCTTTACTGGCCAATGATAAAGTAAGTACGGAAAGTGCATGCCAACCTTTAGAGGTTGCTATAGCATTTTTGTTGTATTTTGGAAGCATATCAGTCTGCAGTAGACAGGAAATATTTAAAAACCAGTTCTTCACAAATATTTTGAGAAGCACTAGCTTTTAATGGATTCTGAATCAAGTCTTATTAAATCCATTTGTTTATGTGTAGATTTATGGAGATTATAGTTAAAGAAAAGCTCGTGATATTTAACTTGTCTTCTTATTACTTGAGAGTGCATTCACAAAAGAAAGAATTCAGCTTTTTCTTGGGGCTAATTACATACAACCTATTAGGACTATTTATAATTTCATTGCAACAAAATTATTATTTTTTGTATTACTTTTTATAACTTGACTGGAGAAAATGACTAAGTTTATTATTTTAAAGGTTACTCTCCTTTGGTTTATTTATTTACCTAGAAAGATAGGGATTGTGTGTGTGTGCGTTTCTATCATAACTTCACAAAAGGCTATAGGTCTTAGTTTACAAAAGTGAAATATTTCTGCCATTGATATACATTTTCCATGTTCTGAGACTTTTTCTCAAAATACTATCACAGGCCCTTTAATATTCTATCTGTGCACTAAAAATATTTTCCATGCAGTGACTTTCTTGGAGCAGAACTTCCATACAGTTCAACTCAGTACATCCTTGATTGCCTACAATGTGTGAGGCATTGCACCAGCGGCTTCCAGGGATAGAGCACTAATCATACAGCTTCTGCCTCTCAGGAGTTACAGTCTGTGGTAGGGATGACTGTGCCTTTATAAACACTTGAGAGTACAATGAGGTATCACAGGAGAGAGGACAACAGCTGGTTGGAATAAGAGATCTCACAGGGAAATGGCACTGGAGAAAAGCTATGAGAGCTGGATAGGATTTTAGCAAGGAAGCAAAAGGGAATTTCATCCAAAGGTGACAGAATGAGCAAAAGAGTAGACTCAGGATAATGTGGGCTGTGTCAGGGAGTAGCAAGCAGTTCTGTGTGGTTGGCGCATAGGTGATACAGGGCAGAAATGAAGAGAAATCAGGTTGGAAAGATGGGTGTGGGGCCATCCTGCAAAACACTGTGAATGTCAGGCTCAGGTACTTGTCCTTCCAGGAGTGGCAATCAACTCCACAGTAGGAAGATCCGCCACCGCTTGTAGGGAGCAGAGTGGTGGGAGGAGATCCTAGCGCAGGGACCAGTGAGGAAGCTGAGCCCCTAGGGCAGGGACCAGCAAGGGAGCTGAGGCCCTAGGGCACGGACCAACGAGGAAGCTGAGACTCTAGGCAGGGACCAGCGAGGAAGTTCCCCAAGTAGACCTGCCTGGAGATGAGGGACCCCGATGTGGAGGAAAGGAGAGGGCAACAGTTGCCAGTTTTCTGTCTTTGGGGATTGTTTTCATTTACATATACTATTTTCTTTTCCAAGTTCAGTCATAATGTAGAAATTTTGAAATCATCCTTTCCAGAGCTCTAAATTTTTGTGTTATAAATAAGTTAACCTTTTTTTATTTGTCACTGTAAGAAACTAGACATATTATCAGCTTGTCTTAAAATTATATTCATAAAAATTCTTTCAGGAAACTTCAGAATCTTATCTGCTTCAACTTTTTAATGGTAGCCTGGGAAATTTTTAACTTGCCAAAGGGGTTAGTTCTTATTGTTTTTCATTTTTAAAACCATTTTGGGATTATATCTAACCTAAATTTATACCTGAAATCATCTCAGCAGAAATTCTAGTGGCAGCAGCTGAGTGAACTTCAAATAGTGAATTTTATATAATAGTGTTAATAGTAATATCTGAAACTGTAAAATATAAATTGTTTATATTATAAAGTTATCTGTAGATAAACTGGATATAAAATGTGGGCAGAATCAAATGTTTTCTTTATGTTTTTCTTCTATCAGTGTCTTATAATTTCTGGAATCACCTGTTTATTCAGGTCGTTCACATAGATGCAAAAACAAAACAGATGCTTCTGATGGATAAGAGGCTGAATCCTGATTGCAATTAAACACTTTATTTTCAAAAGAATTTTTTCTTCTGGCCTGAAAAGGTTTTTGTCTTTATAATCTTCTAATTGCTGGAACAAGCTTTTGCATCGTTTTGAATAGTAGGATAAATATCACAGATCCTATTATCATATGAAGGTAAATCTTCATTTTAGATTATTAGATTTTTGCTCTAGATTTTCATCAATATTTCTTAAAAATAAGCGTGCCTATGGGGGATAATAAACCATAAGAAAATAAACTAAGAAAAATAAACCGAGGAAAAGGCTTATCTTTCCATCCACATTTCCTCAGCAGCAGGGTTGTTAATTTTATGCATGTGCTCAGCTAATCAATATCTCTGTCAGGAGCGCTGCAGATTTAGTTCCTCATTTTTCTTTGACAGATTTGGATTTGTCCCAGTGTGATTATATTTGCTTGTTTGCTGTTTTTAACTCCAGTTTCCCTTTCTTAAAATAAGGAAAAATTGGTCTCTTTTCTGATTTGAACATGAGGAGTTTTCAAAATATAATTTAGGTTTTTTTAATGTGAAAAATAGGACTGTTCTTTACACTGTAAGTCTGTGTGTCTGAGGGAATACAGTAAACATTAATGCAAAGCAATATTCTACACAGGACTGACTTTATGAAGAAATGCAGCGTGGCTTTTGGAAGGTACTCCCTTGCAAAGCGCTGTTCTTTGTATATGAAACTGTTCCTACTGACCTACTCACCATAGGACGTTGGATTGCAGTTTTTCCAATGCCGACGATTGGGATATGCTAAGATACCTCTGCCTGCTCTCCTGGTCCTGCTCTTTGATCAGTGACATTGAGCATCTAATTGAGTTCCCAGTGCAAAGTAGCAACTGTTAAATGTTTGTTGAACGAATGGCTTCTGTAATAATGGTTGTTGAGGATTAGTGATGCAGTGCCATAATCAAGAAGCAGAATTATGAGCTGAAATAAAGTAGTGCATAGAGGATTTAATCTGAAATTATGCTCCCAGTTACACTGGCCCAAATTCCTTTGAGGTCTGTGTGATCATATGTACTATTTAAATCTTTCTATCAAGCATTTGATTCTATACCCTCCATTTAAAAAATGAAGAATAGAAAATATTATTTAAGAAAGGAGGTTAATTGGTGGTTAACTGAGTGAGTGGATCCTCTGATTTTTAGGCTAAATCAATTGTTAAGTGTTCTAGCATATCCTTTAACCCAGAAAAAGTAAAATCCTTTGAGGAAAGTACTGTTGTAAATTTGAGAAAGAGCATTCAAAGGAGGAATGTTTACATTATAGGGAACTGTATTTTTAACAGAGCCTGGAATGTCATAAAGAATCAGTAAATGTTTAACTGAATTTATAGTGTTCTTCTGGCCAAGAATTAGTAAAATTTAGTTAGCTTCAAGGCTTGATTAAATACTGGAGAATCATAGAAGCTAGAGGGAATCCTAGTCAATTCTCTGTTTTGCATAGTGGGTTTAGAGTCATAAAGTAATACAGCTTGCTTTAAAATTCATTTTTCACTTACACTGAAAACTATAAAACATTGCTGAAAGAAATTAAAGAAGACACAAATAAATGGGAAGAGATTGTGTCCATGGACTAGAAAAAAGATGTCAGTACTACCCAAAGAAATATACAGATTGAACTAAATCCCTATCAAAATCCTAATGATGTTTTTTGCAGAAATAGAGAAACCTACTCTGAAATTCATATGGAATCTCAAGGAACTCTATATAGCCAACACAGTCTTGAAAATGAAGAAAAAAGTTGGAGGACTCATGCTTCCTGATTTCAAAATTTATTACAAAGCCACCGTAATCAAAACAATGTAATACTGGTGTAAAGACAAACGTGTAGACCAATGGAATGGAATAGAATAAACCCAGAAATGAACCTTTATATATATGGTCAAATGATTTTCAACAAGGATGCCAAGACCATTCCATGGGGAAAGGACAGTCTTTTCAACAAACAGTGCTAGGAAAACTGGATATCCACATGCAAAAAGATTAACTGGGGCCCTTGCTTTATATCAAATAAAACATTGACTCAAATTGGATCAAAGATGCCTGTAGTCCCAGCTACTCAGGAGGCTGAGGTGAGAGGATCATTTGAGCCCAAGAGTTCAAGGCCAGCCTGGGCAACATAGTGTGACCCCCATCTCTTTAAAAGAAAAAAAATAGAATCAAAGACCTAAATGTTAAAACTGAAACTGAAAGTCTTAGAAGAAAATATAGGGGAAAATCCTCATGGTATTGGATTTGACAATGATTTCTTGGGTGTGACATCAAAGCACAAGCAACAAAAAAAATAGATAAATTGAACTTAAAAATGTGCACCAAAGGACACTATCAGCAGAGTTTAATGCAACCTACAGAATGGGAGAAAACATTTGCAAATCACATATCTGATAAGGGATTAACATCCAGGATATATAAAGAATCTAAAATTCGACAACAAAAAACCCCAGACAACCCAATTGCAATATGGGCAAAGGACTTAAATAGATATTTCTTCAAAGAAGATATATAAATGACCAGTAAACTCAACATCACTAATTATTAGGCAAATACAAATCAACTGTAATCCTAGCACTCTGGGAGGCCAAGGTGGGCGGATTGCTCAAGGTTAGGAGTTCAAGACCAGCCTGAGCAAGAGTAAGACCCCATTCTGTATTCCTGCTTATATTTAAAAAAAAAAAAAAGAGTAAGACCCCGTCTCTACTAAAAATAGAAAGAAATTAATTGGCCAACTAAAAATATATATAGAAAAAAATTAGCCAGGCATGGTGGCGGATGCCTGTAGTCCCAGCTACTCGGGAGGCTGAGGCAGTAGGATTGCTTGAGCCCAGGAGTTTGAGGTTGCTGTGAGCTAGGGTGATGCCACGGCACTGTAGCCTGGGCAAGAATGAGACTCTGTTT